TTATATTAGGATCATGGTTATCAATGGCCAATCCACAGCCCTCCTCCTACAGGGTGCCTGACATTGAGGAGGTGGAGTTATCACAGGGCACAGCCAGGAAGAACCAGGAGATCTTTTCTTCGAGGCTGAGGCCCACAGAGAGGAGGCCAGATTCCTGAGGTTGCCGTCTGTGGGCCTCAGTTTCCCCCATCTGACAATTGTCTCCTCCAAGCTGTCTGGGGTAGTGGTCACATGATGAGAAAGACTACTGGAAGAACCTCAGAGGGGAACAGATGGGCACCCCGGGAGGGAGGAGGCAGTGCCCATCCTTGGATGGTGGACAAGTCCAGCTCTGACTGCTGCGATTTCTTCTGGTTTTATTTTAAATGTTTTATTATATATATATTTTTTGGGACAGGGTCTCACTCTGTTGCCCAGGCTGGAGTGCAGTGGCTCGATCACAGCTCACTGCAGCATCGACCTCCCAGGCTCAAGCAGTCCTCCTGCCTCGGCCTCCCAAGCAGCTGGATCCACAGGTACATGCCACCATGCCCGGATAGTTTTTTTCATTTTTTGCAGAGAAGCGGTCTCCTCTCTAAGTGGCCCAGGCTGCTGGCCTGGAACTCCTGGCCTCAGGCGAGCCTCCTGTCTGCCTCCGAAGGTCCAGGTAGGATGACAGTCTTAAGCCAACGTGCCTCTTCCAGCTTTCCATTCCCCGGGTTCCACTGTTTTATTCCCAGATCGTCCTGCAGAGGGCAGCCGAGGCAAGAGATGGAACACAGAATCCCCGCCCCCCACCCCCCCAACCCCGGCCTTCTTCCAGGTCCTGAAAAAGTAGATTACGAGGTCAAGAGATCGAGACCATCCTGGTCAACATGGTGAAACCCCGTCTCTACTAAAAATACAAAAAATTAGCTGGGCATGGTGGCTCGTGCCTGTAATCCCAGCTACTCAGGAGGCTGAGGCAGGAGAATTGCCTGAACCCAGGAGGCGGAGGTTGTGGTGAGCTAAGATCGTGTCATTGCACTCCAGCCTGGGTAACAAGAGCGAAACTCTGTCTCAAAAAAAAAAAAAAAAAGTAGATTCCAAGCCCGTTGTGGTCTTGGGCAAATCCCTTCCCTCTTTGGGCCTCAGTTTACCCATCTGTTATACAAGGAGCGCAGTGCCTGCTTCCCTTCCCACTCCAGGAAACCCTCTGTCAAGTTCAGAGTGAAACGCAAGGGTGGCTAAGGAATGGGCTGATTCCACTGCTCATAGTGTCCTGAAAGTAATTCAAGAAAAATGATTATACTTGTTTAAAAGTTATTGTTACTTATTGAATCCTTACCTACTAAAAAAGATACTTTGCATTTTGATTTTTTGAGACAGATTCTCAATCTCTCGTCCAGGCTGGAGTGTAGTGGTGCGATCTTGGCTCACTGCAACCTGCGCCTCCCGGGTTGAAGCGATTCTCGTGCCTCAGCCTTCCAAGCAGCTGGGACTACGAGTGTGCGCCATCACGCCTGGCTAATTTTTGTATTTTTAGTAAAGGTGGGTTTTCATCATGTTGGCCAGGCTGGTCTCCAGCTCCTGGCCTCAAGTGATCCACCTACCTTGGCCTCCCAAAGTGCTGGGTTTATGGGTGTGAGCCTCCTCGCCTGGCCTAAAGGAGATTCTCTCTCTCTCTCTCTCTCTTTTTTTTTTTTTTGTTGTTGAGATGGAGTCTTGTTCTGTCACCCAGGCTGGAGTACAGTGGTGTGATCTCAGCTCACTGCAGCCTCCGCCTCCTGGGTTCAAGCGATTCTCCTGCCTCAGCCTCTCGAGTATGCCACCCTGCCTGGCTAATTTTTTGTATTTTTAGTAGAGACGGGGGCGGGGGGGGCGGTTTCACCACGTTGGCCAGGCTGCTCTTGAACTCCTGATCTCAGGTGATCCGCCCACCTTGGCCTCCCAAAGTGCTGGGATTACAGGCGTGAGCCCGCGCACCTGGTCTAAGGAGATACTTTTATCAGCCCCATTTTATTGAGATGACTCGGGTGTTAGAGACGCTATTGTTTCCAGCTGGTAAGTGGAGGGGCAGGGATTCAAAGCTGGCTGAGTCCAGAGCCCTGAGTTTCCTATGCACACTAAGGAGTTTTAGGGGGCTCACAGCAGGGCATGGTGGGGACTCTGGTAAATGCTGAGTAGATCTGGTCTTCCTCAGCCCACAGCCCTCCATGGTCCTCCAGGTCCTTCTCAAAGCTCACCGCGTCCTGCGCAGTCGGCACCTTCTCACCTCTCTTCCCTCACTTCCTCCTCCTCCTCCCCCACTTACCCTCTCTGCTCCATTAGGGCCTCCTCAGTGTTCCCCCAACACGCCGGGGCTTTTCCTCCTGCCTCAGGGCCTTCACACTCAACTGTTCCCTCCTTTGCACTGGAACACTTTTCCCTCTGACAGCCTTGTAACTTTCTCCCACAACTGTTGCAATACATTGTTTTTGAGATGGAGTTTCACTCTTATTGCCCAGGCTGGAGTGCAGTGGTGTGATCTCGGCGTATTGCACAGGGCCTCCGAATACTCTCAAACGCTACCTTAACAACTGCAGCCAGGCGCGGTGGCTCAGGCCTATAATCCTAGCACTTTGGGAGGCCGAGGTGTGTGGATCACCTGAGGTCAGGAGTTCGAGACCAGCCTGGCCAACATGGTGAAACCCCATCTTAAAAAAAAAAAAAAAAAAGGCCGGGTGTGGTGGCTCACGCCTGTAATCCCAGCACTTTGGGATGCCGAGGCGGGTGGATCACAAGGTCAGGAGTTCGAGACCAGCCTGGCCGTCATGGTGAAACCCCATCTTAAAAAAAAAAAAAACTGCAGTTGCAGCAGTGAGCTGTGATAGTGCCGCAGTACTCCAGCCCGGGCAACAGAGCCAGGTTCTGTCTCAAAAAAGTAAATGAATAAATTTATTTTTTAATAAATAAATTTAAATAAATAAACTCTGTCTCTAAAAAACAATTACTGTTTGGCTGGGCACGGTGTCTCACGCCTGGAATCCCAGCACTTTAGGAGTTCAAGACCAGCCTGCAGGGCAACGTGGTAAAACCCCATCTCTACTAAAAATACAAAGTTTAGCCAGGTGTGGTAGTGGGCGTCTGTAATCCCAGCTACCTGGGAGGCTGAGGTAGGAGAATCTTCTTTTTTTTTTTTTTAAATGGGGTTTCACCATGTTGGTCAGGCTGGTGTTGAACTTCCAACCTCAGGTGATCTGCCCACCTTGGCCTCCAAGGTGCTTGGGTTACAGGCGTGAGCCATCACGCCCAGCCAGAAGAATCTCTTGAACCAGGGAGGTGGAGGTTGCAGTGAGTCAGGTTTGTGCCGCTGCCCTCCAGCCTGGGTGACAGAGATTCTCTTTCAAACAAATAAATATTTAAATTTAAATAACTAAAAACTCGCAACAGCCAAGGATGGGTGTGATGGCTCATGTATGTAATCCCAGCACTTTAGGAGGCCAAGGCAGGCAGATCACTTGAGGTCAGGAGTTCGAAATCAGCCTGGACAACATGGTGAAACCTCATCTCTACCAAAAATACAAAAATTAGCCAGGCATGTTGGCGGGCACCTGTGATCCCAGCTACCTTGGAGGCTGACGCAGAATCACTTGAACCAAGGAGGCAGAGTTTTCGGTGAGCTGAGATCACGCTATTGCACTCCAGCCTGGGTGACACGGGGAGACTCCCTTTCAAAAAAAAAAAAAAAAAAGCCACAGTCCAGGGTGGCGTTCCTAGTTGGCTTACTGCTTTATTACTACCTCGCTTATGGTTTAATCCACGCATGTACAGTTGACCCTCGAACAACGCGGGCTTGAACTGCATCCATCCACTTATAAGTGGTCTTTAAAAAATAAAATACAGTTGGCCATCTGTATCTACAGGTTTCTTAACCGCTACCAAATGAGAAGGCGGGATGGAGAAGCTGCAAATACAGAGGGCGGACTTTTCCTATACAGTGGTTCTGCTGGGCAACGGCGGGACTGGAATACACACGGATTTTGGTATTCGCGGAGGTCTTGGAACCAATCCCCCAAATTCGGAGGTTTTTTTTTTTTTTTTTTTTGGTCGGTGTTTCTGACTCTCAAGTTGGCTCTTAAAGGCAAGGCTTTCTCCATTTTGTTTACCACCATACCCCCAACATGTAGGGCAGCATCCGGCATACAGGAGCTCAACTAATTATTTGTTGAACTAATGTCCTGCATAAAGACAGTGTAATTTAGGTTTGTTTGTTTTGAGACAGAGTTTTGCTTTGTTGCCCAGGCTGGAGTGAAGTGGCAGATCTCAGTTCACTGCAACCTCCGCCTCCGGGGTTCAAGCAATTCTCCTGCCTCAGCCTCCTGAGTAGCTGGGATTACAGGTGCACACCACCACGCCTGGCTACTTTTTGTATTTTTAGTAGAAGGCGGCGTTTCACCATGTTGGCCAGGCTGGTCTCCAATTCCTCACCTAAGGTGATCCGCTCGCCTCCGCCTCCCAAAGTGCTGGGATTAAAGGCGTGAGCCACCGGCGGGTGGCGCCCGGCCTAATTTACATTTTTAAAAACTCTAGCAGGGGCCGGGAAACCATGGCTCACGCCTGTAAGCCCAACACTTTGGGAGGCACAAGTGGGACGGTCGCTTGAGCCCAGGAGTTCGATATCAGCCTGGGCAACCTGGTGAAACCTCGTCTCTACAAAAAATTTAAAAATTAGTCAGGCCTAGTGGTGTATGTCTGTAGACCCAGCCACTCGGGAGGCGGAGACAGAGGATTGCTTGAGCCCAGGACGAAGCTGCAGTGAGTCGTGATCGCACCACTACACTCCAGCCCGGGCGACAGAACGAGACCTGCTTCAAACAGAACAGACAAAAACCACTAAAATATCCTAACAAGAAACTCCGAAGAGTGCAGAAGTCCACTGCAGTCCAGTTCGCAACAGGCCAGGCTCTGGTTTATATAGGAACTGAGGCTCCACCCACGTGCAGGCACCGCCTCTGTGACGTCACGAGCGCGCAATGGCGTCATGGGAACGACAAGAGCATGCGCACTTCCTCAGCACAGCCAGACAAGACACGCGCGACCCGGAAGGCCTTCCCGCCACACTCCAGAGCGGGATTGAGGGGCGTCGATGGCGGAGGGAGCGGCGGAGGCCCCTCCAGAGAATGGCGGTGGCTGTGACTCAGGAACCGGCGCGTTGGAACGGGGAGTGGCGCCCATTAAGCCTCAGTGAGTCGCCGGGGCAGGAGGGAACCTCGTGGGTCCTTCTCGGCACCCATAGTGCGGCTTGAGCGGTGCATGCCGGGAGGTTAGGCAGCGGCTGAGGGCGAGAAGCCACCGGCTCTTCAGTCCGGGCCGTTCTTCCGCCTGCAGCGTGGTCAGCGGAGGTACCTGAGATCGTGCACGTTGGGGACTGTCACATGCGCGAAAGACACCACGTGCATGCTAGGGCAGGGAGGATTTGAGGTCGGGCCCGCGGGGCATCATGGGGATTGTAGTCCCTTCATATGGACGTACCGCGCATGTGCTGCGCTAGCGGCTTTTAGTGCTTGAAGGGACTACTGCGGGGCATGCTGGGGCTTGCGGTGTTTGAAGGGCCGAAAGGCGTGATGGGAAATGTGGTGGCTTGGACTCCACTTCAAGGCATGCTGGGACTTGTAGTTTTTCTTAGCCCAACTTGCACAGGGATGTTCTTGGCTGATAACCTGTAGTTTCGCGCAATACTTTTGGCAATGAGGACCCAGGCACAATAGTATTATTATTTTTTTTGAGACGGAGTTTCGCTCTGTTACCCACGCTGGAGTACGGTGGCACGATCTCTCAGCCGCCACTCGGGTTCAGGCAATTCTCCTGTCAGCCTTCTGAGTAACTGGGATTATAGGAGCGCGCCACCACGCCCGGCTAGTTTTCTATTTTTAGTAGAGACGGTTTTCTCCATGTTGATCAGGCTGGTCTCGAACTCCTGACTTCAGGTGATCCACCTGCCTTGGCCTCCCAAAGTGCTGGTATTACAGGCGTGAGCCACAGCGCCCAGTCAAAATAGTCCTTTTTGAGGCCCAGGCTAGGAGCTGGCTGGTTAAGTAGTGAGCTCCCCATCAGCAGAAGGGTTTAAGCAGGGACAAGTGTTTGTAGTCTCCTTTCCCCAATGTTAATGTTCCAAGGGTTTTCCTTTCACTTTCTGTCGGCAGATACCTCACCACCAAGGAGCAGTTTCACGAATTCCTGGAAACTAACGGCCAGAAGCCTTGCCTGGAAACTGAGGTAGGAGACCCTGGTGGCAATGACCTGGCTGAGCCTGAGGCTAAGCGTATCCGACTGGAGGATGGACAGTCGGCAGAAGGACAGACGGAGGATGGGCAGACGGAGGACGGGCAGACGGAGGAGACAGCAGAGCCCCGGGAGCAGCAGCAGACTCAGAAGAGGGCCCGGGGCCAGAACAAGGGCCGGACCCATGTGAAACCCACCCACTACGACAAGAACAGGTTGTGCCCCTCCCTGATCCAGGTGAGTGCAGCCATGGAAGCATTGCTGCCAAGGCAGGCAGGAGCAGGGGTATTTTCTGGCATTGGGTAATTGAAAGCTCCTGGGCCTTCAGCAGTGAGCCATCAGCTTGTTCTGGTGCCATTCCGTCTTCCTCCTTGTGGGGATATATTGTAGGGCTTGTCACTGCTTCACTGTGTAGCAGGAAATTAGAGATTTGGAGAGACCACTGGGGTTGCAGGAGGAGTTTATTTAACGTGATTACAGGCTTAGCAGGTTTGCTTTTTTTTTTTTTTTTTTTTTTTTTTTGGTGTGACGGAGTCTGACTCTGTTTCCAGGCTGGAGTGCTGTGGCGTCATCTTTGCTCACTGCAACCTCTGACTCTCTGGTTGAAGCAATTCTCCTGCCTCAGCCTCTCGAGGAGCTGGGATCACAGGCATGTGCCACCACGCCCAGCTAATTTTTGCATTTTTAGTAGAGATGGGGTTTTACCATGTTTGCCGGGAGGGTCTCCATCTCTTGACCTTGTGATCTGCCCGCCTCAGCCTCCCAAACTGCTGGGACTGTAGGCCTGAGCCACCGAACCCGGCCCAGAATTGCTTTTTAATTTTGAGCAGAAGACAGAGCAAATGAGTGCCTTTTATGCACCTGGGTGGTACAGGGTGACACAGCAGAGAGCAAGTTTACAGAAGCCAGGACAAACAGTAATTAACTCGTGACGTATTTTGTGATGTCCTTTCCATTTGAAAAGTAACATTTTGAGAAACACATTTTGCAGTTTTGAGTTTATTTGCTTTGTGACCTTGCAGCTGGTTAGCAAGAAAACCAGGAATTTTCAGATGCCTGGGAACTTTGCTAAGAATGTGGGGAGAACAGATAAGGTTTAATGGTTTGCAGGAAGGCAGTGACTTTGCCTTAAACAGAGCTGGGAACACATGGTATTAAACAGCACACAACAGGGCAACATTTACTTTATTTATTTTTTTATTTTTTTATTTTTTTTTTGAGACGGAGTTTCGCTCTTGTTACCCAGGCTGGAGTGCAATGGCGTGATCTCAGCTCACCGCAACCTCCGCCTCCTGGGTTCAGGCAATTCTCCTGCCTCAGCCTCCTGAGCAGCTGGGATTACAGGCACGTGCCACCATGCCAGGCTAATTTTTTGTATTTTTAGTAGAGACGGGGTTTCACCATGTTGACCAGGATGGTCTCGATCTCTTGACCTTGTGATCCGCCCGCCTCGGCCTCCCAAAGTGCTGGGATTACAGGCTTGAGCCACCGCGCCCGGCCCAACATTTACTTTATTACATGACAGCTACAAATTGTAAGGTTTTGTTTTACCATAACTGGTATTATTCAAAACAAAACATTTTTTTTTTAGACCGAGTCTTGCTCTGTCTCCAGGCTAGAGTGCAGTGGCGTGATCTCGGCTCACTACAACCCCCGCCTCCCGGGTTCAAGCCATTCTCCTGCCTTAGCCTCCCAAGTTGCTGGGATTACAGGCGCCCGCCACCGCGCCCGCCTAATTTTTGTATTTTGAGTAGAAACGGGGTTTCACCATCTTGGCCGGGCTGGTCTTGAACTCCTGACCTTGTGATCCACCCACCTCAGCCTCCCAAAGTGCTGGGATTACAGGCGTGAGCCACCGCGCCTGGCCAGTATTATTTTTCCTCTTCAGTTGTACAGATGGAGACGCAGCAGCATGGTGATGTGTCTGACTTGCTCAGGGACACAGAGCCAGGAGGGGTGATCTAGCTTGAGCCCCAGCTGCTGAGCCGCCCCGGGGTCCTCCCTGTCCTCCCTCACTCCCTCCCCGTGTCCCCGCAGGAGTCAGCCGCTAAGTGTTTCTTCGGGGATCGCTGCCGCTTCCTGCATGACGTGGGATGCTACCTGGAGACCAAGCCGGCCGACCTGGGCCCCCGCTGTGTGCTCTTCGAGACCTTCGGCCGCTGCCCCTACGGCGTGACCTGCCGCTTCGCTGGGGCCCATCTGGGGCCCGAGGGCCAGAACCTGGTGCGGGAGGAGTTGGCAGCTCGCTGTGCCCAGCCCGCGCCCGTCCGCAATGGCCTGGACAAGGACCTACAGCAGCGGCTGCGGAAGCGCCAGGTCCGCTTCGAGCGAGCTGAGCAGGCTCTGCGCCAGTTAAGCCAGGGCCGGCCCCCTGGCCCCGCACCTGCTGCCACTGTCCCCGAGGGCGCAGCAGCCGAGGGTGCTCCAAGCCAGGACGACTGTGGCGCCCAGCAGGCCCCCGCAGGGCCAGGCGCTGGCTCCCCTCCCAGCGGCCCCGTGCGGACCTGCGGGCCCCTGACGGACGAGGACATGGTCAGGCTGCGGCCCTGTGAGAAGAAGCGGGTACGTGTTGAGGACAGTGCCAGTAGCAGAGCTGTCCATCTGGTGTGCATCTATTAGGCACCAGCTGTGTGCATGTTTCTGTTTGAGATGCCTGGGAGTCAGAGGCTGTGCCCTGAAGGAGCTCCTGGCTGAGATGCCATCTGTGCTGTCTTGGGCCCAGCCCTCAGAAGGTCCCGCTCCGGTGGGGACAAAAAGAGCTGGACAGGGCTGAGCATAGTGGCTCATGCCTGGAATCCCAGCACTTAAGGAGGCCAAAGCAGGCAGATCACTTGAGGTCAGGAGTTCAAGACCAGCCTGGCCATCATGGTGAAACCCCATCTCTACTAAAAATACAAACATTAGCCAGGTGTGGTGGCGGGCACCTGTAATCCCAGCTACTCAGGAGGCTGAGGCAGGAGAACTGCTTGAACCCAGGAGGCTGAGGTTGCAGTGAGCTGAGATTGTGCCTTTTTACTCCAGCCTGGGCAACAGAGCGAGACTCCGTCTCAAAAAAAAAAAAAATGCCAGACTCACTCTCAGTCCTAGGGGGTCAGGGTTGGGCAGGGTGGGCAGTATGGAAGGCTTCCTGGAAGAAGGGGCATTGGGGCTGGGTTTGGATGGTTGAGTAGAAGCTCTCCAGTGGAGGAGACAAGAAGAAAAAGAATATTCCTTATGAAGGGACTGATTGGCACACGCAGAGGCCCAGAAAGGGAGCCAGGCCATTTGGGGCAGGGCGGAGTGCATCCTAGACTGGGGGGGAGGGGCGGCTCCAGGGCCTCTGCAGCCGGGATGGAGGGCCAGGCTTCACTGGGGTGTATGTTTTTCCCTCCAGCTGGACATCCGTGGCAAACTGTACCTGGCCCCCCTCACCACGGTAGGAGTTGGCTCTGACTGCTGGGGTGGCGGGGTGGCAGGGTGGCAGGGTGGTCCCTCCAGCAGGGCCCAGTGTCTGTCCCCACCTGCTGGATTCTGGGGCTGCAGCACATCGCATATCCAGGGGCCCTGCCCGCCACATGGTCACTGTGTGTGTGTGTGTGTGTGTGTGTGTATGCCAGCATGCGTGAGCATGTCTGTCCTGCCATCCTGAATGTGTGTGTGTGATGTGTGTATGCGTGCATGCCAGAGCACGTGTCCTGCCACCTGCTGTATGTGTGTGCGTGCCTGAGCATATCTGTCCCGCCCTGAATGTGTGTGCATGTGCATGCGTGACTGTGTATCTGTCCTGCCACCCTGAATGTGTGTGTGTCTGTGTGTGTGTGTGTGTGTGTGTTTGTGTGCGCATGCGCCAGCGTGTGTCTGTCCTGCCACCCGCAGTGTGGGAACCTGCCCTTCCGGCGGATCTGCAAACGCTTCGGGGCGGACGTGACATGCGGAGAGATGGCCGTCTGCACCAACCTGCTACAGGGCCAGATGTCCGAGTGGGCCCTGCTCAAACGCCACCAGTGCGAGGACGTCTTTGGTGTCCAGGTCAGTGCCCACCCCGGGGGAGGGAGAGCGGAGGGACCCTCAGCTGCCATGTCAGGGCCCAGTTCCAGGCACGTCCTGGTTGCCTCCCCGACCCCCTGGCCACAGCTGTGGGATGGGGGTGACGGCCGTGGCCAGGGACAGGTGCCTCACAGACAGACCTGGGCTCCTTGCCGGGAGGCCCTGAGGGAGGAGGCCGCTGGCTCAGTGCTTCCCAGTAAGCAGGGAATGGCCAAGTGGGGACAGTTTGGACTGTCCTCACCCCCACCCCCCTGCCCCTTCTGCTGTTGGCCACCTGCAGCTAGAGGGCGCCTTCCCTGACACCATGACCAAGTGTGCCGAGCTGCTGAACCGCACCGTGGAGGTGGACTTCGTGGACATCAACGTCGGCTGCCCCATCGACCTCGTGTACAAGAAGGTAGCAGACCTGGACGTGTGCCTCGGTTTCCCCATCTGGGCAGGAAGGCACTGAGCCTACCGGCCATGTCGTGGGTGGCGGGTCAGGGGTTTGGGCTCGGGTGTGGCCTGCGGGTTGGCGTCTCCTGGCAGGGGCCTCAGGGCAGCGGGGGTGAGGGGTCTCGGCCTACGTGCGGCCCTCCCTCCACCGCGTGTCTCCTCCAGGGTGGGGGCTGTGCCCTCATGAATCGCGTGGCCAAGTTCCAGCAGATTGTCCGTGGCATGAACCAGGTACAGCCAGCCACGTCCCTGCGTCAGCCCCTAAAAAACTGTCCTGCTTTTCACCTCCCCCCACCATTTCCCAGCACCTCCCAGCACCTCCCACCATCTCCCACCACCTCCCACCACCTCCCAGCACCTCCCACCACCTCCCAGCACCTCCCAGCACCTCCCACCACCTCCCAGCACCTCCCAGCACCTCCCACCATCTCCCACCACCTCCCACCATCTCTCACCACCTCCCACCGTCTCCCAGCACCTCCCAGCACCTCCCACCATCTCCCAGCACCTCCCACCACCTCCTAGCACCTCCCACCGTCTCCCACCACCTCCCAGCACCTCCCACCACCTCCCACCACCTCCCACCACCTCCCAGCCCCTCCCAGCACCTCCCACCACCTCCCAGCACCTCCCACCGTCTCCCAGCACCTCCCACCGTCTCCCACCACCCTGTAGGTGCTGGACGTGCCACTGACTGTGAAGATCCGCACAGGCGTCCAGGAGCGCGTGAACCTGGCGCACCGCCTGCTGCCCGAGCTTCGGGACTGGGGCGTGGCACTTGTCACGGTGGGTCTCGGGACGCCCCGGGCATCAGGGCCTTGGGGGTCGCCCTTTGTCCCTTCCTAACGGCTCCTTTCGTCCCGTCCCTCCCTCTTCACCTCCACACCTCCCTCCGTCTCTGCCTCTGTCTCTCTCTCTGTCCCTCTCAGCCTGGCTCTCTCGGTCTCTCTCTCTCTGCGTCTCACTCTCTGCCTCCTACCCCGCGCGGCGGCTTCTCCTCCAGCTCCACGGCCGCTCTCGGGAGCAGCGCTACACCAAGCTGGCTGACTGGGAGTACATTGAGCAGTGCGTGAAGGCCGCCAGCCCCATGCCCCTGTTCGGTGGGTACTCCGGCCTCCCTGTCCCTACCACCCCAGGCCACTCACACCTCTGGGCCTCTCACCTTCCCGCCTGGGACCCCCTCCTACCACCCTGAAGGGGGCCCCGGGTCAGCCAAAACTCCCAAAGGGCTGGTGAGCAGAACCCTGCGGTCCCGCCTGCCCGTGGCTCCCTGAGACTCCAGCTTCCATCTCCTCAGGAAACGGGGACATCTTGTCATTTGAGGATGCCAACCACGCCATGCAGACTGGTGTCGCCGGGGTCATGATTGCCCGGTAAGTGCCCGGGGGGGTTACCGAGATCCAGCTCCAGCTTCATGCACAGCAGCGGCACCCCAAACCCAACACGCCGTTGCCCACCCCTGCTCTGTGGCGGGATGGTCCCGAGGTGGGACGGGGAAAGCGACATCAGGAGTTGCAGCTGCTTTGGGGCAGAGGGGACCGGAAATTGCTGCTGCTGTGGGATCTGATTATTGTGGATTGAAAGTCCTGGGCTTTGGCTGGGTTTGATGGCTCACGTCTGTAATCCCAGCACATTAGGAGGCTGAGCCAGGTGGATTACCCGAGGTCAGGAGTTCAAGACCAGCCTGGTCAACATGGTGAAACCCTGTCTCTATTAAAAATACAAAAATTAGCCAGGGGTAGTGGCACAAGCCTGTAATCCCAACTGCTTGGGAGGCTGAAGCAGGATAATCGCTCAAACCCAGGAGGCGGAGTTTGCAGTGAGCCAGGATCGCGCCACTGCACTCCAGCCTGGGCTACAAGAGCAGGATTCCATCTCAGAAACAAAAACTAGGAAAAAAGTCCTGGGCTTTGAAGGTTGTGTACGCACAGCTGGGAGGCATATTCGGCTTGCAGGTTTCGAGGTCTGGGCTCCAGCTCAGTCCAGGCCTTGGAAACAAGAGGCCACACGATCCCAGGCAGGCTGGTGGCTGCGACCACTGACCGTCACCCGCCCCGCAGGGGCGCCCTCCTCAAGCCGTGGCTGTTCACGGAGATCAAGGAGCAGCGGCACTGGGACATCTCGTCGTCCGAGCGCCTGGACATCCTGCGGGACTTCACCAACTACGGCCTGGAGCACTGGGGCTCGGACACGCAGGGCGTGGAGAAGACCCGGCGCTTCCTGCTCCAGTGGCTCTCCTTCCTGTGCCGGTGGGCACCGGGGCTGGCCGGGGTGGTCGGTGCGTGGGCCGTGGCCGGGTAGGGCCAGCCGGGCTGACTGGAGCCTGCTGCCCGCCCACCCACCCGCAGGTACGTGCCTGTGGGGCTGCTGGAGCGGCTCCCGCAGAGGATCAATGAGCGGCCGCCCTACTACCTGGGCCGAGACTACCTGGAGACGCTGATGGCCAGCCAGAAGGCAGATGACTGGATCCGTATCAGGTGCCCGGGGGCTGGAGTCGGGGCGCCCTGGGTCATGAGGGGTACTGCGCAGGCTCGGGGCCTGACCCTGCTTTTCTCCCGCCCTCCCACAGCGAGATGCTCCTTGGGCCGGTGCCCCCCAACTTCACCTTCTTGCCGAAGCACAAGGCCAATGCCTACAAGTAGCCTCGGGGGCTTCCCCAGGGGTACCCTGGTGGGAGAAGAGGACAATAAATTTTATTCTTTTAAAATCAAGGCCTTTCTGTGACCCTGAAGCTGCCCCTCCCCAGCCCCCACCTTCCCCAAACCTTTTGGCCACCTCCGTGCCCGGAGCTCGGGGATGCCCCCAGGGAGGCCTTAAACCCCAAGAAGGTAGCAGGAGCAAAACTTGGGGGGCCTCAGCCTGCGTGGGTGTGGATCAGGGCAGCCTGCCTGGAGGAGGCAGCCTCGAAGCTGTTAGAGGGCTGTTGCTGGAAGAGGCAGAAGGCCTGGCCCAGGGTCCTCCCACCCCTGGTGATGACCGTGTCTGCCACCGTCTGCCCCTGCCCACCCCCGACACCCAGAACCCCAACCAGTGAGCAGGCTGCAGGCTGGAACCCGCTGCCCTGAGTAACCAGGCAAACAGAACCCTGCTGGGTTCTCAGCCTGTGCTCTGGTTGGGCCACCTGTGCTCCCACTGCTGCCCTCCTGGCCTGCCTGGACCGGGCCCCCCGCCGCTCCATGCAGCACCCCAAATCCTTCTATGCTTCTGCAGTTCCCCAGGAAGGCTTCAGCCCCCACAGTCTGGAGGGGGCCGAGGTGCTGGGCAGCCAGTCCGCTCCCACCTTCACCGAGCCGCCTCCCGCCATGGGTATGACGGGGTTGGCGTGGACCTGCTGGGGAAGGGCTTGGGGGCCCACGCGCCTCAGGGCTCCACCCACCCGGCCACCTTTGTCCACAGCCTCGTTGAACCTCTATCATCCCCCAAACCCAGAGAAAGAGGTGTTTCCGGCCCCTCCAGCAGGTACCAGCCTCCCCTGCACCCTTGACGAGGCTGGGCGTGGGTTTGGGTGTTGGGGGCCCAAAGGCATGGCCTCTGCTCCCCATGCTTCACACAGGTCCCCCAGTGAGCCCCAAAGACAAACTGTGTCCCCATCACCCAGCCAGGGCCCTAAAGTGGTATCTGTCTGCCATCCCCCAAAGGGGCTCCCCAATGGCACGGTTCCCGTGGCATCCCCCAGACAGGCCCCCAGGCGGCAGCTGCTCTCAGGACACCCGCCCGCCACCCACAGGTTTCCAGATGGCCCCATGCGGGTGCTTTTTCGACCCTCGCATCTATCGGATCGAGTGGACCACCCCCGACCTGGGCCAGTCGGCCCTGTACAAGCTGGCGGCGAGTGGCGGGGGGCCAGCGGGGGGCCCTTCCACCCCAGGCAGATACCTCCTGGAGCCGCAGCCCTACCTCAAGGCTCCGGGGCGGCCCCCGTACCCCCACTACCAGCCGGTACCCGGGGGGCCCCAGTCCCTCCTGCCCTACTTCCCGCCTGAGGGCTCTGGGCCAGAGGCTCTGGGCTTTGCGGGGGACTCGGGGTCCCCCGCCTTCATGGAGCTGCCCCTGCTGCCACCCGAGGAAGGCCTGGCCCCGCCGCCAGCCCCACCCCCCAAGGAGAACAAGCTGCCCCCTGCACTCATCCCGCGGCCTGCAGAGTCCACGCTGCCCCTGGACACCTACAGCCGCCTCCAGGGCCACCCTGGCCACTTCCCTGGGCCCGAGCCCCTGGCCTTCCCCACCAAGGAGCCGCAGGGCAGCGGGGCCGGGCCTGGGGTGCGGCTGTACCCACCTGGCTCCAGTGAGCCCCAAGTGGCCAAGGCCAAGGAGGGGGCCCTGCTGGGGGCGGGCGAGGCCAAGGCGCTCCCAGACACGGTTCTGCTGGAGGACGCCATGAAGCTCTTCGACTGCCTGCCGGGCGCCACCGAGCTCAAGAGGACCCCGCGCCAGGTCCCCAGGCCGGCCCTGCCTGACGGCAGTGGCAGCAACTCAGCCGACGACATCCACTCGCTGTGCCTGCCTGAGGAGCTTCTGTCCTTCGACTACAGCGTGCCTGAGATCCTGGACACCGTGTCCAGCGTCGACCTCTTCAACTTCAAGGCACTGGACGAGGAGCAGCCGCCCCGCTCGGGGCCCCCTGTCGCCGATGCCGCAGCCCCCATTCTGCCCGGCAAGAAAAAGGCCTCAACAGCCAAGAAGGGAAAACCGGGAGGGAAGGCCAGCCAGCCCGCAGGCCCAGCCGGCGCCACTCCCCCCGGGCCCAGGCAGGACCTGGGAGCCACCCCCCATTAAAGCCCATTTCACCTTTCAGCTCCGTGTCCAGGCGGCAGCCTTGGGGATGCGGAGGGGCCCTTGGGGGTTGGAGGTGCACGCCTGGCCCCTCACCCCATCATCCCGAGGACCGGCGAGGCTGCACCCCGGGCCTCACGGTGAGGCCTCCAGGGCCTAGCAGGGGAGCCCTGGAATCACAGGACACCCTAAACCCCTTGAGTCCCAGCCCTGGAAAATCAGACTCTGCTGGCAGAGGCAGGGGCCTCCTGAGCTGCCCCCAGATTCACATGTTCTAAGGATTTTCACACCCTTGTTTGGTGGGGAAAAGCAGGCTGCCCAGAGAGGGGCAGGAAATTCCTTGGAGACGCAGCTGTCAAGGGAGCGCTTGAGAAGCAGCCTCCAGATCCCCACCCAGGCGCCTCCTGTCCCCAAGAAGCCACAGCCACTGCAGGGAGGGCGGGAAGGGCCAGGCTCTTGTTCAGACAGGTGGGTGCAGGGGGCTTCCCCGGCTTCACCGGATGGTCTGAGGGTGGGAGCAGATGCTCGTGTGTGAAGGAGCGGGGCGCATGCAGCACCTGGGGAACCCGGAAACCTCCACGCAAGATGGTGACATGAGACAGCACCCAGAACCCAGGAGAGGGTCAGGGGCCCTACTGGGCCAGTCACACTGCAGGGTCCAGGGTGGCAGGGACAGCCCAGCCACTGGTGCCATAATGAGACAGGCCCAGCCTTGGAAGAGGACCCCTGGGTGCTGGTTCCCTTCGTTACTCACCCATATCAGGGTCTCGAGGGCCCTCCTGGGGGCCACCTGTACCCTCCTCCCCTGAATTGCTCATGGTGGCCCTGGAGATGCCGACCCCATTCCCCTAGAGACACGTAAGGAAACAGGAGGACCAGAGCCATCCAGCGCCTCCTGGAGTGAGGATACCCCTCTGGGCTGGGACCCTTCCGCCTGCGCCTTCCCCAGGCCAAGGGCTGGATCTCCTGGGTCTCTGGAGTCTGGGTTTCAAGGTCTCTGTGGGGGAGCCCCTGGGGGGGCTCACCTAGAGTCCAGGAGGCTGGTGGGTGTTTGGAGGCAGAGCGGAGACCATAGTCCCCCTCTGCTGGGCACTGTGCCTTCTGCATTCTGGAGCTCCTCTCCTGGAAACCGTTATTCAAAACTCAGGAGGCTGTGGGAGTGGGCAAAGGCCTGTAATCCCAGCACTTTGGGAGGCCGAGGCGAGCAGATCATGTTAGGTCAGGAGTTCGAGACCAGCTAGGCCAAAACAGTGAAACACTGTCTCTACTAAAAATACCGAAATTACCCGGGTGTGGTGGCGGGCACCTATAGTCCTAGATACTCAGAAGGTTGAGGCACGAGAATTGCTTGAGCTGGGGAGGTGTAGGTTGCAGTGAGCCAAGATCACGCCACTGCACTACAGCCTGAGTGACAGGACGAGACTCTGTCTCTTTTTTTTAAATTTTTTTTTTTAAGATGGGGTTTCACCATGTTGGTCAGGCTGGTCTTGAATTCTTGACCTCAGGTGATCCACCCCTCAGCCTCCCAAAGTGCTGGGATGACAGGCCACATTACCAGGCTCAGGTCCGCTTTTCTCAGCCGCCTTCCAACTCCTTCTCCCCACAGCCTCATTAAAGGTATCTCTGAAACTAACACCAGGTGTCTCAGTGACGGGGAGGCCTGGCTGGTGAGGAGGTAGGGCAAGGGCCTGGGATCCCTTTGCTTGAAGCTTAATGTGGAGCGAGGGTCACAAAGTGGATGTCTGCCAAGACCCAAGCAGCAACTTTCTTTTTGTTCTGAGGCAGTGTCTTGCTCCGTCACCCAGGCTGGAGTACAGTGGCATGATTATGGCTTACTGCAGCCTCCATCTCCCGGGCTCAAGCGATCCTCCCACCTCAGCCTCCCAAGTAGCTGGGACTACAGGTATACTCCACCACATTCAGCTAATGTTTAAAAAAAAAAAAAATTGGGGTCTTGCCATGTTGCCCAGGCTGATCTTGAACTCCTGGCCTCAAGCAATTCCCCTGCCCCAGCCTCTTGTAGCTGTGTAGGGTGATTTAAAATGACCACGGACCATACACACACACACACACACACACACACACACACACACTTCAAACAAAGAGTAATCAGAAGTTGTGAGACTGACTAAATTTTCATTTAAAATGAGTTGGCTGACCCTGGTGCAGTGGCTCCCTGGGAATCCCAGCACTTTGGGAGGCTGAGGCAGGAGGATTACTTGAGCCCAGGAGTTTGAGATCAGTCTGGGCAATATGTCAAAACCCCATCTCTACCAAAAAAAAAAAAAAAAAAAAAAAGTACCCAGGCATGGTGATGTGAACTTGTAGTCCCAGCTACTCGGGAGGCTGAGGTGGGAGGATCACTTGAGCCCAGGAGGCAGAGGTTGCAGTGAACCAAGATCACACACTTGCACTCCAGCCTGGACAATGGAGCAAGAGTCTATCTAAAAAAAAGGGGGTGGGGTTGGCGGGCATGGTTTGCTCACGCCTGTAATCCCAGCACTTTGGGAGGCCAAGGCGAGTGAGTCTCTTGAGGTCAGGAGTTCAAGATCAGCCTGGCCAACATGGTGAAAACCGGTCTCTACCAAAAATGCAAAAATTAGCTGGGTGTGGTGGCAGGCACCTGTGGTCCCAGCTACTCAGGAGGCTGAGGCGGGAGAGTTGCTTGAACCTAGAAGGTAGAGGTTGCAGAAAGCCAAGATGGTGTCATTGCACTTCAGCATGGGTGATAGACAGAAACTGTCTCAAAAAAAAAAAAGAAAGAAAAAAAGACGGCTAACCCTGGTACAGTGGCCCATCCGTAATCCTAGCACTTTGAGAGGCCAAGGCAGGAGGATCGCTTGAGTCCAGGAGTTCGAGACCAGCTTGGGTAACAAAGTGAGACCCTATCTCTACAAAAACTAAAAGTAAAGTTAGCCAGATGTGGTGGTGGTTCCTG